ATCACTTCATTAAGCCTAGATTTCACTCTACAAAATGAGTACTAAGAGCCCGATCCTCATGATATGGGACGCTCATTTGTGAGGTTCATTAAGAGGTTCATTAAAAATCTTTGAAACTCTTAAGTCTTCTTGAAAATCAGACATAGATGCAGTTGATCCAGAATGCTGCTGCCCTCATCCTCACTAAAATATGACAGTCGAGGAATTAATACCAGTTCTGATGTCATTACACTGTCTCCTCATATCTCAGAGAACAGACTTTAAAATATTTCTGTTGGTCTATTAATAACTTAATGTCTTAGGACTAAATACATTACAGGCTTGCTTTTATTGTATCGACTTACCAGATGTCTTAGGCAGATGAAAAAGTTCAAAGATTTATTAATAATAAATGTGCAAAGTATGTTCAGATCCAAGAGGGGCATTGACTGGTCACGAGTGGGTTCACTGCTGAGGAGGACAGAGAGATTAGTGGAGGTCAAGGTCCTTTGCTGGTTGTGAGTGTTCAGGTCTGTACCTGTTCGGAAATGGAGCAGAGCTGCAGAGGGGGGGAACCTTGAGGGTCCAGAGGTTGTCGGCAGGCTGAGGGCAGAGGCGGAGGCAGAGCTTACTGAGTGCAGACAGATCACTGATTGACTTTTCCTTCCAGTAATCTTCTGAGAGCGGGCAGGCAGGTACTTGACTGAGGCTGCTCTCCAGAGTCCTACTGAGATCGCGCAGACAGATCACCGGCAGAGAAACTCTCCAGAGTTTCAGGTATTCAGGCAGGATCAACCTGGGAGGCAGAGAGGAGAAAAACGGGATCAGGTTTGGTTCACAGAAAGTCAGAGTTCACAGACAGGCAGGTTGGCTCAGGCTTGCTAACCATTACTGGCAAACACTCTGGCACTGGAGTGAAGCCCTCCGCCTCCTTAAGTACAGATCTCCTGATGAGCAGATGAGAGACAGATGGTGCGGTCGGCTCATGCTCCAGGAGATCTCGTGCGCCCTCTGGTGAAGAAAGTGGACAAACCTCCAGATCCCAACAATATTTCTTATCCTTCCTTATTATGGAAACAAACTGAAAAAATGCAAAAGTGCTAAATCCCTAAATTGCATTAAATTAAGATTTAAAACTTACTTTTTGAGAATTACCTTGCTATTTAAACATTATTAGATAAGTTTGCAGTACAACTTTTTAATATTTTTCATCAATCATTTTATCCTTTATGTTTTATGATCATCTTAATCATCCATTGTTATTCTCTTTAATAATTCATTTTCATTAACTATTTATTTACCTTTATGTCACTACAATGTACCATGTGTTTGTGCACTTTGAATTGTCTAGATACTAAAACGTGCTACATAAACTTACCTTCAAAAGATAGAATTTTGGCAAGATATTTTCCCACTTAATCTTATTACGATGATTAAACATGTACACCAACAAGACAATGAAATAAAGCAGCACCTATGTCTAAAATGAATCCATCGCCACTGGAATGGATACCAGATTGCTACTTTGGAAGATGCCACTTACTCCAATGGTGTGTTCAAATGACACATACAAAGCCAGACATTTTTATAAGCAAGCAAACTCCTTTTATATATAGGACCTTGTTATGGTTTCTCCTTTTGGGACTTTGAGTTTTGAATTTTCAGTTATTAATAATTCTGTTATGGTTGCTCT